GTGATTTTGCCTAATGCCTGGGCATAATCTTTTAATTGTATACCGTCTTTGGCTTCGATTATTATTGCCTGATCCTTTTTGGGAAAACAATCACTTTGCACTACCTTCGTGTAACTTCCTCGTTGGTGAACGTTGGAATCATTTTTATCGACTTGAGATACAAGATTTTCTTGGTTACAGGCCATTTCGGTGAATAGATTGCACCGAAGCAGCGTTGACTTGGATTTAATGTTTTTGATTTGCTACAATTACTGATATTACTGAGTTTTTACTTAAGTTTTGCAATTCCACACTTCCTCATAGACACAATAATCACAGTATAGTCGCGGTATATGGCACTCGCGTTCACAGCACGCACGGTGTTGATAAACACATCCGTTCACTACCACGGTTCCCGAAGGTCTCCCGATTTCGATTTTGTATTCGCTTACATAGATGATTTTTTTATCGCCTCGGAAAATGAAACCGAGCATAAGAAACATCTGAAGATGTTATTCGACCGTTTTTCGGAATACGGAATTGTTATTAACCCTGCCAAATATGTCTTGAGGGTCGAAGAAATCACTTTCTTGAGTTACACCGTAAACCGCTATGGGATTAGACCCTTAGCCGAACGTGTCGAGGCAATTACAAATTTTTCGAAGCCCGAGACCATACGGTTACTGCGGAGATTCCTCGGCATGATTAATTTTTGCCGCCGTTTTATACCTGGCGCCGCGCATACCTTGACGCCTTTGAATGACCCTTTGGCAGGTGCGAAAAAAGGCAATACACCTGTTCCCTGGTCAGAAGCAGCGGAAAGAGCTTTTGCGGATATAAAAATAGGCATTGCCGATGCCACGATGTTGGCGCATTCCATTCCGGGCGCGCCCATTAATATATCAGTCAACGCGTCGGACTATGCTGTTGGAGCGGTTCTCCAACAATTACCGGAAGGCTCATTGCAACCCCTTTCGTTTTTCACAAAGGCTCTATCCGTCGCTCAACGCAAGTACAGTGCGTATGACCGCGAACTGTTGGCGGCATATACCGCAGTAAAACGTTTCCGTCACTTCGTCGAAGGGCGGAATTTCATAATTTTTACAGACCATAAGCCCCTAACCTTTGCGTTCAGTCAAAAATTAGAAAAATGTTCGCCACGTCAATTTCGGTACCTGGATCATATAAGTCAATTTATAACCGATATCAGGTACATAAAAGGCGCAGACAACAACGTAGCTGACGCGCTTTCACGGATCGAGACAATAACTGCAGCCCTTGATTCCAAAACCTTGCGACAAGCGCAAGAACTTGATCAGGAGTTGCAAGAAATTTCTAAATCTAACACCGTTTCGATCCAATTGAAAAAAGTCCATTTTCCCACGGAAAACGCGTTTTTATTTTGCAACACTACGAACGCATAGGTTAGGCCTTTTGTACCCGCGCCTTTACGACGGGAGGTTTTGGAAGCCCTTCACGGACTTTCCCACCCGGGGAGTCCGTGCGACGCAACGGCTTGTAACCAACCGTTTTGTCTGGCCGTCTATCAACAAAGACGTTAGACGATGGGCAAAACATTACATTTCCTGCCAACGAGTAAAGGTCTCCAGGCACGTTACGGCCCCAATTACAGATTTTCAGTGTGCTGGTCGGTTCGAACACGTACACATTGATATTGTAGGGCCTTTACCAACATCTAGAGGCCGTAAATATTGTTTAACGTGCATCGACCGTTTTTCTCGTTGGCCGAAAGTGATGCCCATCGCAGAAATCGATGCGGAAACAGTCGCGAGGGCATTCTTGAATATTTGGGTTGTTAAGGCGTATCCTGTAGCCGGATTTATGGCAGCGAATCAAGTGGTCGCCGTCGCAGGCAAATATCGCTTTTTCGAAACACCACAAATGTTTATTGCGTTGCGTGCGACACTTAGTCCCTAGGACCAGACCCTGCCATAAATCCTGGAGTCTCCGAACGGAAAATAGAAAAGTGGCCCACGACTTTTGCCAACGACGATGGGCCACTTGACTTTAACAAAGCCTAGAAAACCGGAGATTCCACAGGATTCCCACGCATCCGTCCACCGAACACTTTCTCCGGTCATTGTTTAACCCAGCCTAAGATACCGCGCTAAGGACGAAATGGTGGGAGGTTGCGATGCACCGGAGTAAATTGATTGGTGATTTAGAAAAGGAAAAATCACCAATCAGGGTGTTTTTAGGAAAATAGGAGTCTTCTTCGAGGGAAACCGCAGAGACTCCGGCAGAAACATTTAGCAACTCGAGGGAAAAACATTTAGCAACTTGCGGGAGAAACACTTGGCCACTCGCAAGTGAAACACATCTCACTTCGCAATAGAATTTATATCTTTAATTAGTTGTAGAAAATAGAACATAAAATAAAATCTTAGTGTTTCAATCAAGAAACTGGTCCTTCGAAGCCTTAGAACATTAGTCGGCACACATGTGCAAAAACCGGCAAAGCTTGAACGATCGAAAGATCAACCGCAAGCCCCTAACATTGGTCCTTCGAGCCGGATCACAGCATCGGATTCAGCCACTTAGAGGACTTCAAATTGCTTTCACAAACAAGCGAACGCGTGGATCTGCCAACACAACGGAGTTGACCACGAAAGGAAGTCTACGCATAGAAAAATCCGGTAGCATCAACATCCAGGAAGGCGACAGTGGACGTCATCAAGGCAACCCAGATCAAGGCAACGGCGATCGAGCAGATTGCAACAGCAGCAACAAACCATCATCACCGATCGTCAAAACACTCTGCTCTCCGTAAGTCCGTTTTCAGCATCTCTTGATCTGCGTTGTTACATATTTCAACAATGGATACTCAATTGAAAGCACTTTCGATTGAACGTGGACAAATCAAATCTGCCTTGACTCGTCTCAAAAATTTCTTTGAGATGTTCGGACAAGATGCGGATGTAGATTCATTAGAAAAGCGCCTAAAGTCCAACGAAACTTTGCATGAAAGATTCGATCGCGTACAATGCCAAATAGAATTATTAGTTGAGAGATCCGATCAGGAAAGCATTCATGCAGTTGAACGGCATAACTTTGAGGAAACCTTTTTCGATACAATGGCAAAGATAGAAAGATATATAACGCGTTATCGTGTACCGAGACAGGCGACAGTATCCACATCGCCTATGGTGGTGGAAGCTCAAGGTACACCGCGACTCCTGACATTAGCATTGCCAAATTTCAGTGGCGATTACAACCATTGGCTTAAGTTTCGCGACACATTTGAGACACTCATTCACAACAATGAATCGTTAACAGACATACAACGATTTCATTATCTAAGCTCCTCGTTAAAGGGTTCGGCCGCGCGGTTAATACAATCTCTGGGTGTTTCTGAAGCAAACTATAAACTGGCCTGGTCGACATTAAAAAGACGGTATGAAGACCCTAATTTGTTGATTCACCACCATGCAAATGCATTATTAGAACTACCACACATTCACAAACAGGCCAGTTTCGCGCTTCGTGAGTTTATTGATACCGCTTTTAACCATCTAATGGCTTTAGGCGTGTATGTGCGTCGCAACGTCGGCAATTTATTAGCGACGATTAAACGACGCGGAGGAACTTCACTCGTTGAAGTCCAAGTCGAATGTGTATAAAATGGACTGTATTTTGTATATCGAATGATACGAAATGTATTTTTGTATGTATGCACCAAGTGTACAGTTGTGTATAATAGAGAGTCACTCGCGCTGCGAGAAGACATCACGCAGCTGCTCAAATCAGCTAGGCTCAACGTCCGACAGTGGGCGTCAAACGACCGCGATCTGCTTCAAGGATTATCAGAATTCGATGTCAACCGCAAACTACATCTCGGCGAATCCTCCACTTTAAAAACACTGGGAATTGTTTGGAACTCTGCAACAGATTCTATATACTATGCAGTAAAAACCACAACATCAACACCTCAGATCACCAAGCGTCACATTAGCTCCGAAATAGCAAGGATTTATGATCCACTAGGACTCCTCGGACCCGTTATTATCATTGCAAAACTTTTGCTACAACAGATCTGGATTCTGAAGGCCGATTGGGATGAATCCTTACCAATGGATATTCACACGCAATGGATCCAATATTACACGCAACTACCATTATTAAACAACGCAACATTCAACCGGAAAACTATCATCAACGCAGCATCCAAGATACAGCTGCACGGATTTTGTGATGCCAGCGAAAAGGCATACGGAGCCTGTGTTTATTTGCGATTCATCGACGCTTGCAGCAACGTCCAAGTAAATCTGTTGCTTTCGAAATCCAAAGTTGCTCCATTGAGAAAACATTCACTACCACGGTTGGAACTCTGTGGAGCACTTCTTCTTGCCACACTTATCACCACCGTACGAACGGCACTTCACATCGACATTAGTAACATCTTCCTATAGTCCGATTCTACTATTGTCTTGCACTGGATAAACACGTCACCCCATGTCCTAAAAACTTTTGTCGCGAATCGTGACGCTGAAATACAAAGGAAAATCGAAGATGCTCAGTGGCGCCATGTCGGAACATCCGAGAATCCAGCAGATTCAATCTCACGCGGCCAATCTGCGGAAGAATTCCTCCAGCCCTCCATCTGGCAACACGGACCGACGTGGCTCTCAAAAGAGAAAATCGAAGATGCTCAGTGGCGCCATGTCGGAACATCCGAGAATCCAGCAGATTCAATCTCACGTGGCCAATCTGCGGAAGAATTCCTCCAGCCCTCCATCTGGCAACACGGACCGACGTGGCTCTCAAAAGAGGAGATCTACTGGCCTTTGTGGACACTGACACCCATGGATGATATTCCAGAGCAGAAGACAACGATTTGTTTAGCATCAACCTCAATCGATTATAGCATTCTGGAACGGTACTCGTCATGGGGAAAACTCATCCAAAGCATCGCGTACTGCCTACGGTGGAAATATAGACACAGAAGCGGAGGATGTTTGACGGTCGCCGAGCGGAACTATGCCCACAACACAATAATCAAAATGCTGCAACATCAATATTTCGCAAAAGACATACATCACTTATCGGATGACAAGAAACCAGAAGTTAACCGTAAACTGCGGCCTTTGAATCCATTCATAGATCAAAACGGCATTTTGCAAGTCGGCGATCGATTGAAACACTCGTTCATGCCATTTTCACAAAAACACCCAATTATCCTTCCAAAGGCCCATTTGACCACGAAAATAATTGAACACGAACATCGCACACAATTGCACGCTGGCGTCCAGACCACACTCTACGCGATTCGACGATGCTACTGGCCTATCGATGGGCGCAGCCAGGTGTGGAGCGTCTTAAAGAAATGCGTTCGTTGTTGTCGAGCGAATCCTCCTCCCGTTGAATACATCATGGGCAATCTTCCAGAAGCTAGAATCACCGAATCCCGTCCCTTCACACATGTTGGAGTCGATTACTGTGGCCCCTTTTATATCAAGGAAAAAAGACATCGTAACCGTAAGCAAATCAAGGTTTACGTTGCGGTGTTCATATGCCTTGCGGTAAAAGCGGTCCATCTGGAATTGGTCAGTGATATCACGAGCGAAGCGTTTCTCGCTGCCCTTCGACGCTTCATCTCGCGACGAGGATTCTGCGCTCACATATACTCAGATAACGGCACCAACTTCACGGGAGCCAACAACGAATTGCGGGAGCTCCAGAAAATGCTGAGGACAGAGGAACATCAACAGAGTCTAACTGAATTTCTAACGGAAAGATCCATCCAATGGCACTTCATTCCCCTCCAAACTCCCCATTTTGGAGGGCTTTGGGAGGCCGCAGTATAATCATTTAAATACCACCTCAAACGCGTCGCGAACACCGTCACCTTTGCATTCGAGGATTTATACACTCTGATTACAGAAATAGAAGCGATCTTTAACTCCAGACCACTTACTCCCATCTCCGCGGATTCCAATAATCTTCTTGTCTTAACCCCAGGTCATTTCCTGATTGGCGATTCTTTGACGAGTCTACCTGAGTTTGATTTCAGAGAAGTTCCAACCAACCGCCTTTCGAACTGGCAGCACATTCAAAAACTCAAACAACACTCCTGGACTCGCTGGCATCGCGAGTATTTGAACGAACTGACCAGTCGCAGCAAATGGACCAGTGGCGGCCACAAAATCAAGGAAGGCTCAATAGTCCTACTCAGAGAGGACCACGTGCCATCGATGCACTGGCCCCTCGGACGAGTTGTCCGAACGCATCCAGGGCCTGATGGCATTGTGCGGACCGTGACAATGAAAACTGCCACGAAGGAGCTCGACCGTAACGTGAAACAACTCGTACCTCTTCCCTACCAGTCAGAGGGAAGAGATCCGACTTCACTAGCATCCATGGACCAACCAGCATCCATGGACCAACCAGCATTCATAGACCAACCAACATCCAGGGACCAATCAGCATCCACAGGTCAACCAGCATCCAGCGATGAACCAATACCTGGGGATCTACCAACATTCACGGCCGTACCAGCTGCCAAGGACCAGCCGATAGCCAGACACTAAAATAGCCATACACACACCGCGACACATATCCACTTACATCACATTCATTGACATTTTGATCGGTATCCTCTCAACGGGGGGAGGATGTTCGATTGTCCTCTTCCTCTATTCAGAAAGCGGGTCAGAGTTTCTAATCTCTTCCTCACGTTTTTAACACCACCTTCTATTTCTTAATTTGCCTTTTACTTATTGAAGAAACTGTCACCCGTCCGTAGCAACAATAACTTTATGAAAGCCATTGAACACCGTTAGTCTCTTAGTTTCATTATTTTCGCCTTTATTTTATGGCTTAGAATTTCAATTTTCGTTTCTTTGTTCGAACATGGGTTGCCTGAGTCAGAGTGCATCATAAAGATTCTTGCCTGCTACGGTCGCGGGCGAGGCATGTGGAATTTCCGCGTACGTCACTCGAAGGTACTCTCTTTACCTGAGGGTGACCGTTAGCTGGAGGGAGGTCACTTTACACAAAATTTATTCAGCCAATCATATTCACTCGACCGATTCTCTAGCCACTCCCGAAAAAATGCAATTCAACCAATCCACATGTCTCACCCCCGCTAACACACCTCGTTCAGTTTTACTTTCGGGAGATTCCTCGAACGAGGAATGAGTTCAAAAACACACTTCACGAGAACAAGACACAAACCAAAGACACATCGTAAGGAAATCACTGTACGATACGCGGTGTCGAAACATCGAAGTGAAGATTTACGACCTTCACTAACGCGCCGTCTTTATTAAAGTTGATCGCGTTGCATCGCGAATTCGTGCAAAGAACAACGATTATACAATAACTATACAAGAGAAAATATGTTATATACAATGGTGATGTGTGAGCGCATGTGTTGTGTGATGTCTCTTAATTCTAATTATAATTACAATATACATGAGTTATGGTACAATAAACTAAGTCTCGTCTCGATAGGCAACGGTGCCAACTTTTTCAGAGCACGCTTATAAGTGCTGTGTGGTGTTTGAATTGTGGCCACGCGGACCACGTCATCCTCTCTAGGGTGCAGAGCGACTACTCGCCCAAGTTTCCATTGAAGGGGTGGACAATTATCATCCCTGATTGTCACCAGCGTTCCTTCCTTGATGTTTGTGCCATCTCCAGTATGCCATTTACTCCTAGTATGCAGCTCCTGTAAATATTCTGTCTGCCACCTTCCCCAGAAATGCTGTTTAATTTTCTGAATGTGTTGCCAGAGTGACAGCTTATTAGTTCGAGTATCGACAAAATTGTGTTCCGGTAGGCTCGCCAACGACTCTCCTATAAGGAAGTGATTGGGTGATAGGGCAAGGAAATCGTTGGGATCAGAGGATATCGGTATCAAGGGACGTGAATTAAGTATAGCTTCGATCTCAACGATTAACGTATAGAATTGCTCGTATGTGAACATGGCATCACCTATTGTTTTATGCAAATGTTTTTTAAATGATCTAACTGCAGCCTCCCAAAGACCGCCGAAATGTGGAGAACGAGGAGGAGAGAAATGCCACTCAATGTTTTCCTGCGTTAGGAATTGCCGAAGTCTGTTTTTATATTCGTCGGATAGTAGAAGTGCACGAATTTGTATAATTTCATTTTTGGCGCCTACGAAATTAGTACCATTGTCCGAGTATATATGACGCGGTTTTCCTCTTCTCGCGACAAATCGTTTGAGCGCTCCTAGACACGATTCCGTTGTTAAATCGGTCGCTAATTCTAAATGTATCGCCTTCGTCGCGAAGCAAACAAAAACTACGACGTAACATTTCAATTTGGTTTTGTTTCTGAACTTCTTTTCTTTAATAAGAAAGGGTCCGCAGTAATCGATTCCTACGGCTTCAAATGGACGTGTTTGTATAATTCTATTTTTTGGTAAATTCCCCATTATGTACTGTGGTGTCTTGGGATTGTATTTGCAACAACTAATGCATTTATGCAACACTTGTTTGACTATGCTCTTGCCCGCTATCGGCCAATATTTTTGCCTTACCGTGTATAGAGTGGCTTGTGTCCCTGAATGAAATTGTCTCAGGTGTACCTGTCTAATTATTAGTTCGGTAACGTGGTGCTTGTGCGGTAGTACTATGGGATATTTCTGGTCATACCTGAGTACGGCGTGCTTTAACCTGCTACCAACCCTAATAATACCATTCTCGTCTATAAACGGATTTAAATTGATTAATTTACTTTTTCTATTGACATTTCTACCGGTTTTTAAATCATTTATTTCTGATGGGAAGGTTTCTAATTGAACTAGTTTGATTATTTGAAAGTGTGCATTTTGAATTTCTGATAATGACAATGGACCTGTGTCCTTCTTGCTATCGCGTTTTACATTATTATAAAAACGAAGAATGTACGCTATGATTCTATTTAAATAATCGATGGATGAGTATTTTTCCAGTAAATCTACGTTGGGAAGCGTGACTAGAGTTATGGGACGCCTCTTTTCTAAAATTTCTATTGTTCCTAATGTACTAATTAGCCAGCGAGACTCATCCAACGCTAACCAATGTGGTCCAAATTTCCATATTGCATTTTTTATGAATTGAGAGGGTAGTTGTCCTCGCGAAACAAAATCTGCTGGGTTGTCGGCTGTTGCAGTATGGAACCATTTGTCAAAATGAACTTCTGTTTGTATTTCGTTCACCCTATTGGCGACAAACGTTTTTAATAAATGCGGTGGTGTCCTTATCCAATGCAATGTAATGGTAGAATTAGACCAGAATCTAATTCGTTTGAACTCTGTCTGATAAAATGCCTTTTTCACTTCCTTGTACAATTTTGCAAGGAGCCTGGCCGCGCAAAGTTCGAGACGCGGTAGCGATATAATTTTCAAAGGTGCAACCCTTGACTTCGCACATAACAAATTTACCGCGTATTGTCCACGTTCGTTGGTGGACTTAATGTAAATGCATGCGCCGTATGCACTCTCGCTGGCATCACTAAAGCCGTGGAGTTCTAGTTGTGTTGTATTTTCTATAGCGGTTCGGCGCGGTACGGTGAAGTTATCTAATAAATGTAGTTTGTTTTTAATCTCCAGCCACGATTGTTTTATTGTCTGCGGAACGGGTTCGTCCCAGCCAATAGCCGATTTCCACAATTGTTGCATAACAATCTTGGCTTTGATAATTACCGGCCCAAGCAAACCGAGGGGGTCGAACAATTGCGCGATTTCTGATAGAAGTACTCTCTTGGTAATGCGAGATTGTTCTGGCGACAACTGTTTAAAAATATAACTAATTTGATCGTTTGTTGGATTCCAATAAACGCCAAATGTCTTTTTTGTTTGTGACGGATCCAGGCACAATGATCCCTGCTGGTTTATAATTTGCAAATCCGCAATCAATCTTGCGTCATTGGAGGTCCATTGTCGCAAATGGAAACCTCCCGCCCTAGCTAACGCGATACATTGTTTTTTAAGTTCTAATGCAGCTTGAAAACTATCTGCTCCTGTAAGTAAATCGTCTATATAGAAGTCTCTCATAAATATTTCTGCAGCTAGAGGGAATTTCTTTGCTTCATCTTTAGCTAATTGATTTAGAGAACGCGTGGCTAAGAATGGTGCCGGCGCGGTGCCATAAGTGACTGTATTCAATTCGTATGTTTTGATCGATTCCCGCCATAGAATTCGTTGATAGTTTCTATCGTCTGGATGAACTATAATTTACCTAAACATTTTTTCTATGTCCGCTATGAGGACAAACGCATGCTGACGAAAACGAATAAGAATAGAGAACAACGTGTCTTGTATCGTAGGTCCAATTAATAAAGTGTTATTCAACGATAGACCGGAACTGCTTTTCGCTGAGGCGTCGAATACTACTCTAACCTTTGTGGTCGAACTCGATTCTTTTACGACCGCGTGGTGCGGCAAATAATACCCTACGCTACTCTGGTCGTCCTTTACCTCCGTCATGTGCCCCAATTCTAAATATTCTTTTAAAAATTCTGTGTATTGAGTTTTCAATTCTAAATTTGACTGTAATTTATGCTCTAAACTATAAAATCGTTTTAAGGCCATCGTCCTTGAGTTGCCGAGAAGATCGTGTTTTTCATTAAATGGTAATCTAACTACATATCGTCCTTGCTCGTTACGCGTTGTATTTCGTGTAAAATGAGTTTCGCACTCTGTCTCTTCCGCGGATAAGAAACCCTTCTCTGGGATTTCTTCTATCTCCCAAAACCGAGTGATTTGTGTGTCGAGGGACGTGGCTATATGACAAACCTTACCTGCCCTGCCTTGCCTATTGGGTTTATGACTATCTATCTCGCCAGTGACTATCCATCCTACCTGTGTATTTTGCAAGATAACTGAGGGTTTATCTAATTTAATTTGACCAGCTTCTAATAAGTCGTAGAACAGCGCATTACCAATGAGTGCGTCTATCTCCCCTGGTTTGCGGAAGTTCGGATCTGCCAATTCTACCAAACTCATCATATCAAACTCGCTAAGATTGACCTGTCGCACCGGCAGCATACCCGTAATCGATGGTAGTGCAATGAATGTTATTTGAGCCTTAAATGGACCGGTTTGCGATCTTATGCTGGTTTTAACTAGATGTTTCGCGTTTGTATTAAGTTGCCTTAAGCCGGCGAACGAGAGATCTATTTGTTGTTTATTTAATTGCAACATTTCCGCGAGTCTGTATGTAACAAAATGTGTTTGCGAACCACTATCAAGCAATACGCGACACGTGTGCTCCATATCATATTTATCTAAGATAGTAATTTGTGCCGTGCCAAGTAAAACCTCTGAATCGTAAGAAGCGGTTAAGGTGGTCTTAATTGTTTCTGTGGACGTTGACGGGGTGGATACTATCTGATTATTATGGTTCAAGTCTTGTGTCTCGGTCGGAAAATGAAGCAACGTATGGTGTTTCTTCTCGCATTTACGGCAATTTCCTAATCGGCAATTGATAACGACATGGTTCGGACGCAAACAATTTATGCAAAGTTTCACCCGTTTTACAGTGTTCAAACGATCGCGAACTGACAATTGGAGGAACTTCGTACACGCATAGTTTGGGTGTTCCCCTTTACAAAATACACAAATCTGTTTTCGCTCATTTGTCGATACGTACGAGTGATTGCACATCTGGGTTTTTGAGCGTAGCCTATCCTGTGTATTACTCGCTTTTATTGAATTTGAATTCTCTGTTCCGAGATCGTCCCCGCGTGCATGTTTATTGATAAAATCTAATAATTGTTTAAATTTTGGAATTTCCTTGTCTTCTAAAGTACGTTCCCAGGCGCGACGTGTATTTCTGTCTAGCTTACTAGAGACGATATACTATACATACGTTTTCTTTCTGCTTCCAACAGGAAATCTGATGTGAGTAGATTCGTGTGGATTCAATGAAATCGTCTACTCACAGTATTAATAAAATGTGCATCCTCGGGTGCGTGTGGTCCTAGGTCCCGTTGATTTCCGCTTTGAGTTGCCAAGTTCCTCCACGATCTTCTCGGTGTCACTTGAATGGATCCTGGCAGGATCGCCAAATTTATAGTCGCTGTTATGCCGCAACTTAACAGAGACTTCAAAAATCTCAGTATTCCGTTTACAAAAATAACTCTTTTATTCCGAAGATCAACTCTTAACAAAATCAAAAAACTGAAGTCTCCACTTTTAAGGAAAACTGTAAGGAGTGGTGGAAATTCGTTTTTATCCTAACAGTGCATTCAATTCTGCGACTAGCTGTACATAGTCATCGACTTTTTCAAACACACAGCATTTATCGATAGTCGGAAGAAATTCAATTAAGGTTGTAAACAAACAGGATTTTCAAGTTGCACTCCGCGGTCTAGAGTATTTAATTATTTTTATATATTTTAATTATATAACGTATATTTCGGTTAAACGATGAAAATACAAATTCTAGAAGCGTGTCAAACAAAATATTTATGTTCACGGTACCGCCATAATAAACGTTTCTTCTTTCAATGTTTCTGTAAACTCTGTATGTTTTTTTATATTTTACAGAAGTAAAGTTCATGGAATCGAATAGTATTTTTTAGAATTGATTCAGGCGCTGGTCACAAGCGTTAAGTAGGCATTTGAGACTTTAACATTGGTTATTTTTATATTTGTTAATAACAAATTACATATATCAAATGAAACAATATTCTTTCAGCTTTAAAATAAATGTAAGAACAAAATATCACCTTTAAATGCAGTTGAAATAATGCGAGGAAAATGGTGACTTTCGTTGCCTGACTTCATTCAATTTTTTTAAATTTTAACGTTGAATAATTCGTAAACATTCGAGATAGAAAGCAGAAAAATTTGCATAGTGTAGTTTTTCGAGGCTATTAACAAATGCTGTAAGTTTAAAAAAAATCGGTGACTATGATCGCAATTTTGTACGTTTTGATGCTGAATGGCTTTTATATGGGTTTATAATATTACAATAAAAAGAAGTGAATAATGTTCTCTACGAGAAATTTTTGAGCAAGAAAAGAGAATTTCAAATGGCCTTGATATTGTTACGAATCGCGATGTGCTTGTTGCGAAACCGATAATAATTGTCCCTCTTTTTGAGTCAGACCATTTAAGGAATCTCTAAGGGGACTCAGGTAGTGCTCGGAAGATAGACTATTAACGCACAACAGTTTGCTGTTAAAACTATATGTAATGTATATTTGTGAAAGAATGTGAACAGAGCGCAAAATGCCTAAGCTTACTGATCGGAAAATTGTGTGTGGTGTCGTGTGGTGTTCGCTATTTTATAAACTACGCGTGTGTTGTGATTAGTGGTGTGAAAACTGTCGTAGGTGGTGGAAGTGTGCGGTGATTGATTTTTTCGGTGTGTTTGGGGTGTGTCTGGTGGTGGTGTGAAAGTGGGGAATTTGTTCTTACATTTGTTATATTGCTTGTTGGAGGTCGTGTTCAGGTGTGAGAGGCGTCGTAAAGTATTTTTCGTGCCGGCTAAGACCTCGCTGGTCTATCGGGAATACCGATGTATTGTTCGGCTC